ATTTTATTTATGTTTTTAATGTTTTAAAATTTACTATTTTTTAAAAATAAATAAACTTAAAAAATAATACATATCAATTTTAATTTTAAAAAGATCAAAGTTCTAATATTAATTATGAGAATTTGTAAACTAACTAAATATCAAAATCGAATTGAACTTTAGTTAAATTTTTTTGAACATGAGTTTATAACCTTTTATCATTTGATTCTTGATTCTCTAATTCTGTTGCTTAAGAATGATTAACTCTTATTGTAATACCTTTCGGGACACTAAAATAGAATTATCGAATAATGATGACTAATAATAACAATGGCAAGTAGGACTTAGCAGAAGCCTACCACTCCTTAAAATTAGTAAAATTGAAGTGAAATTTGGGTTATTATAATTTTAGAGTAGATATTTAATTTGAGATCTCAGTTTATCTTCCCTAACATATTTAATAATTTAGTTTTCAATTGCTTAGCATAAAAAACCAATGGACTTCAGTCCCCATTATCGGTTTGGTTTCTGTTGGGATTAGGCCCAACGCCCTCTTAGGGCCACATGCAGCAGGCCCAATTACGCACCCGCAGGCTCAAGAGGAGGAGACATACCCACGTGGGCAGTACCACGTGGACCAATGAGAGGCTTACATGTGCAGATACATGTCAGCACTTGGGGCTATAAATACCCCCCAACCACCTCCGAAGAAGGTAATTAATCTCTACGCTTCTCTCTCTGCAATTACTCCTTGAGAGCATCTCTCTCTAAAATATTGAGTATTGTTGACTTGAGCGTTGGAGTGTTTTCCCCGGGGAAGCATCCTCGGGATTTTCAGGTGTAGAAGCAGCTGAAGACTTCAACAGTGTTGGATTGTGAAGCTGCCGAAACATTGGCGCCGTCTGTGGGAAACTCGAACAAAAAGTTGTGTGATTTAACCTGCTGAAAAACAAAATGGTCCGTACCTTTACAGGAGAACGCCCCCCAAGAAATGAAATAGGCGAACAGGAGGACGATCATGTATCTGAGGCCGGATTGAATGACTTTAGGCCGATGCCAAGAAATCTTTTTGTAGGAGGAGCCGAACAGGATCACCTAAGTGAGACGGATGATGAAAGAACACCAACTGGGTATGCAACCCAGCCTGAACAGTTCCAAGCTCCAACAGGAACGAGACGAAGATCTGCCAGACCGAACAATGCACAATGTGAACGACCTGAAAGGTTAACAGAAGCTGCTCGGACAACTGAGCTCGAAGAGAGAACCAGAGTTCTCGAAATGGCAATGGGAAGAATCCTTGCCCGCTTAATCCCTGATGACCCCCTGATTCCTTTGCTGAACAGGGATGCACAACCAGCTGCGGTTTTGGCAACTAGAAACTCCCCCGCTCTAAGCAATATAGTAGTGCCGACCAGGCCTAGGGGAAGTGGGAAATTGAATATCGAGCCCAGCTCGTCCAAATATAGTGAAGAATTGATGAAAAAGAACGCAGACCTCGAAAGGCAACTGCGGGATGTACAGAAATCCATTGACGAGCTGAAAAGCCCCAGGTCGCACCAACAGACCTTGGATTTGGATAGTGCTCCGCTGAACCTATCCATCACCACAGAACCATATCAAGAGGGATTCAAAATTCCCCACCTAGAGACATATGATGGCACGAAAGACCCGGATGAACATCTACA